GTAAATATTGTGCAAACGTGTGTGAACCTCGTTTTTAAAATATACATTTGTACAAAAAGTATAATTATAAACTTGAGTAAACGCTATACTTTGTTTAAATATATATGCACATGTATATTTAAATAGAGTATAATGTATATGTTCGGAATAATTTATAAATCTTAAATAGTAAGTTTTAAATTGCTTAGTTAAATTATTATAGGAAATTGCGAAATTCTTTAAATAAGAGAAACAGGTAAAATTGTTCCTTTACATATTGAAAAAGTAGAAAAGTGTAAAGCTTGTCGCATTGATATGTCTATCATATTCTTTTAAAAATAATAATAACTTCCACACCGATATTAATTCACTGAAGTTCGGAATTCTCAACATATTGCATCACCTACATAAAAGGAAAAGAATAATCTATCAATAATTGTTTGATTCGCCCAAAAATTTATATTACCTCAACCTTCAGTGCTTACTTAGATAGTATAAAAAGGACAAAAAAATTATCCTGCGTAATATCATAGAAGTTTATAAATAATCGAGTAGTACGTAGAGAGAGTTGAACACAATTATTTAAATAGAATCTCTGCACCTATTTATAATAGTTCTTTTAATTTAAAATTGCTTACTTAGCAAGATGAATGTTAAGCATTCGATTGTTAAATGCAGTTTGAAGAATTTTTGAGAAGGTACGTAACAGATTTTAAAATCGTGTCTTTTAAATACGAAAGTCCAAAGTGGAAGTGGAGAAAGTTGTTTTACAATGGATTAAAATATCTGAGAGATATAACAATTCGTCTAAAGAAGAGCAGCGATGAAAATTGAAATCATAGAAATTTACGATAGTCTACACCTGTCCCTATTCCCGGAAGGTGTTCCAGCTTCCACCGTTCTTCGCCTGGCCGTGTCCTCTTCTAGCATGGAAGCTTGAAGAGCTCTGGCCAGAGCCTCATCCTCGCTCATGCTGCCTTGATAATTCTTGAATATCTCCCCGTTTCTATTATTCACTTTCATATTGTTATCAAGAGCATCGAGTCTTTTTCTCCGGATCGTCTCCTCCTTTCCCAGACACGCGTGATCCGTCGGGTGTCTGTGTTTCAAACAGAAATTTTTACCGCAATCGGAACAGTAGACTTGAACTATTTCTTTAATCTTGCAACCCTTCGACGAGCATCTATAACATAAAAAAATGTTTCTTTGTACGCAAATACATCGGAGACGATGCTCTTGTTTCAATTTGTGAAGATGGATCAGAATCATACCTATGAGAAAATATTTTTTGGCTAGGCTTCTTCAAATCCGATTGGCATTCATTATCGATGTGTTGTCCCACAGCAATGTCCGGCGGGTCTCCTCGTTTTATAGGCACAGGAGCATTACATAAAGGACATACTGGTACTTGTACGTCCTTCTTGTAAGCGCTTGGGCAGTTGTGGCTCTTGTAAGACATGTGTTCCGAACAGAAGATCCCTGAGCATGCATCACACTTGAGAGGCAAGAAGTCCAACCGATTGCAACTGTTCTCTGAACAGTGTTCACCCAAATGTGGTAATTCCATTTTAAATACGATGAACCTAAAGTAAAAGTGTAATTCTAAGAGTCAGCAATATGGAACCAAGTCACTGTATTTGTTTAAAAATGTTTCAATCAGTTCTTTATTACCAAGATGATAATGAAGAGATAACAAAGTTAGCAATTGGAAATGATGGTTAGCAATAACATGTACTAATGAGATGAAATATAAAAATAACACTCATGGCAATATACTACATAGAATTACGAAAAAAGATATGTCCTTCCATTGTATGTGTTATAATTAACTATGATTTCGTTTCATTCTTAAAACGTAATTGGTATATGTTAAAACAATGAATTTAGAATTGAACTGTGTCTCGACATGATGACAGTGAAAAACTGTGAATCATAACCTTAAGTATCCATACTTCACACACTAACATACTTTCCAATAATTTCTACGTTTAAGAAATTCCACAACTTTGACATTACAAAGTAGAATTATTTTACAGAAGAAATAAATCTGGAAAATTCTTAAAATATAAGACGTACCTTAAAATTCAAGTCACGATTCCTTCTGTCGATTTATCAAGACGAATATTGAACTATTATTATGCGTATCACAATGAAATAATTATCTTGAATCCTTGAACGATTCTATTTATTATTTCACTATCACAATTGTAGCAGTTTCTTACGAAAATAGCTTATTTGTCTAATGCAAAAGAAGCGTACAGCTGCGTACAGCTTTCACGAAGTAGCACGAGGGACTGATTTGTCAGATTTGATAGAGACATAGAAACTGCGCGGTATATATACGTTCCACGTGAAATTACGACACGGATGGATTAATAACGTCACCCGAATAACTGATAACGCGAATTAAGCATGACGTAGGACTTTTGAGACGTTTTCCACTGATGACGACTCGATTCATAATTCATACGTATAAATATTAAAATATATGAAATATTAAATGTAAATATACAATTATTCACGTATAAATTAAAAGAATTTTGTCATTATTGAATTAATACAAATAGAAATCACATGTTTCTTCAATCCTGCAATTATATACCTTTTATGTATAGAACAGTAAGAGAGAAATAAACAAATCGTTTAATGAATATTAATTAACATATGATTTTTTAATAAAGATCTTACCTATATTCTTTCTGGTGTAGATCGTTTTCTTTTCTACTCGTAGATGAGATTAGGTCGAATTTCGTTGGATTGTTGGAGGTTCTGAGCGCGGGAACAGAACTGAACGCGAAGCGCGCATTCGTGGCTCGAGTAATTTACAATCATAAACTCGAGTTTGCTTTGTACTTATCACCGGAGCTTGGTTTTATTATGATTTTTGAGCACCAGGTGGCCGCGTTTTTGTTGTTCATTCGCCGAGCTACGGGGTACGGGCGGTGCGGGTGTCCCGGAGAACGCCATTACATCAATTAATGTCACCGTATATTCACTGCCGCCGTTCATCCAGGTAGATTTTAGCTTAACCCCGGCGGTTAAAACGAAATCTTGAAACGCGAGGTTCGATACCGATCATGTCGAAACGCAGCAGCCAGTCGTCGAAGAAGGGACGCGCGAAAATACGTAAGGTCGAGTACGACGAGGAGGACATCTCGAGCGAACATGAGTCGGACGTCGACGACGCCGCGGCCGAGACCGGCTCGAATGCTGATGCCGAGGACGCCGAAGACGATCTCGCCGATGTTAGCAACATTCCGGAGTTACCACCGCCCGAGGTGATACCTTATACCTTTATTTAAAATTTTTAATATATATACATGTATATACAGTTATTGGTCTGGTGGGGTGAGGGAACGAATGCTTACTAGCTTCTCCTATTTTATATGTAGGCCTATGTTTGTTTGAGTATCTCAGCATTAAAAAAATATGAACTCTGTAGATATGCATAGGATGAACTTGTAATAAACACACGTATGTATCTCATTCTTACATGTAGCAACTTGTACTCTAATGAATTACTTATATATATTTGCTTGCCATGATTCATAAGTTTGATGAAATTGGATGGGAAAGAGCTATACCGGTGGACTTTGCCTAACAAGTATAAAATTCTTAATCAATGATGTTTAGAATAGAAACTGCACATTAATCTTGCAAATAAAATTCATATGTGTACATTTATAGCAAATGTTATAATAAAATTAAGCTGTAAGATCCTTTGTTATTACAGGGAGGATGGGGTAAACCAGGAACGTTGCTGATGTGCGGTCTGACGAATTGGGACATGGCTGGACGTAAGAATCCACCGAAGGGTATGAAAACCAACGTCGGCCGCAGCCTATGGACTCCGCATACTTTTAAAAACTTGAACGGGTCCCGAGTGAGATTAGTCGCCTCCGGTCCAGCCGCCTCTCACAGTATTATCGTTACCGAGGATAACAGGTGCCTAACATTTGGTAGAAATGATAAAGGTAAATGAACTAAAGGTAAACAAGAGTTATGATAAAATCTATTACAGTAAGTAAAACAAATATCGATTTGTTAAGCCGTATTATTCGTAGTTGGTACTGGATTAACAACGTACACTATTTATATATGTTCAGAACGTTGTTTCTTTGGTGAAATGTACTGCTGTGTTGTCGTATTATAATTCTTATACTCGTTCGTTTATGCACTCTACCCTGTGACTATTCTTTATTCCGTGCTCGTCGTAACAAATTAAGTTTCTCATTGATATCGATAATCATTAATTCTTGCAGGCCAGCTGGGCGTTGGCGACACAAACCGCCGGGACGAACCCACCGAGGTGGCAGCTTTAAAAGGACATACGGTGATAGGTGCAGCCTGCGGCCGCAATCACACTCTGTTCTTAACAAGCCGCGGGATAGTGTTCGCCGCGGGTGACAATAAATTAGGCCAGTGCGGCGTGGGTAAATCCGAGACTTGCATCATGACTGCGACTAAAGTGAAATACTCCGGCCCGCCTATAGTCAAGGTGGGCTGCGGCGCGGAATTCTCGATGATCCTGGACATCAAGGGCGGTCTGCATTCGTTCGGCAGCCCGGAGTACGGCGCGCTGGGCCACAACACCGACGGGAAGTACTTCATCACCAGCACGAAAATGGGTTTCCTCTTTGAGAAAGTGCCTAAGAGAATCGTTCTCTACATCGAGAGAATGAAGGACGGCCACGTGACGCCGCTGGACCGTGTCGAGATCACGGATTTCAGCTGCGGTCATTATCACACGGTGGCGATCGACAGTAAGAACCGCGCGTTCTCGTGGGGATTCGGCGGCATCGGCCGTCTCGGGCACAATGAACAGCGGGATGAGTTCGTCCCGCGTCTGATCAAATACTTGGAACCGCCTAATCGCGGCGTTCGAGCCGTTCATTGTGGGAGCACTTACAGCATCGCTATAAACGTCCACGGTTCGGCAATGATGTTCGGCCAGACGAAACGTACTGGCGAAGCGAACATGTATCCGAAACCGATCCAGGATTTGTCTGGTTGGGAGATCCGGTGCGTCGGCTGTTCGCAAACGAGCGTCGTGGTCGCTGCGGACGACTCCGTCATAGCTTGGGGAGCCAGCCCTACTTTTGGTGAGCTGGTAAGTACTTAAATACTACGACGTCGAAGCAAGGAATTTTGTCGTGATTATTATATTCTTGGTTTTTATTTAATGTTCTCAGGGTTTCGGCGAGATGCGTAAATCCTCGACAACGCCGATGGAGGTGAAAGCACTAGAAGGTTTGTACATAACTGCCGTTACCTGCGGTCTCTCCCACACGCTCATGATATGCCGGGACGAGTCCGATGACGAGAAAGCGAAAATTAACAAACTTCAAGTATATTCTGTTTAAATCCACTTTTTTTATTTCAATTATTCGAGATTCAGCTGCTCGAGGAGTTTGAATTTCGAGGGATGCAATCATCGTGGTATTCTTGTTACTACGAAAATAATTGTATTTTATTTTGATACCAGAAGCTCTATAATTGTGTTTAATGAATCGATTTTCTTGATCACAAGAGAATTATTTTCTGATTTTTTTCTTTCTCCTTTGTACAGAATCATTATTATAGTATTTGCAAGGTACTGCGGATTTTCTATTATTTTTAATTCGAAATTTCAACTCTTCGATTAGCGAAAAGAAATTCCTGCATTCATCGCAAGCATTATTACACTTACAAATTATCGCCACTTGCAAGGAGAGTACATTCATCACATTATATGTTTAAATAATAAGTTAGTTACATAAACGAGCTCGATGAAAAGGTTGAAAAACAATGATCTGTGAAACGTTTATTAAAAATAGACTGCGAGAAACGTCCATATTACGAAGTATATAGACTTAAAAAGAAAACTGTTATAACTCTCTACATAAATACTTTGTACTTCCACGATTTTACTTAAAATAACATAAGAAACGTAACGAGAGAAAAGTGAAAAAAGTACGCGTGTTTCATCGTAAAAAGGAAGAACGGAAAAACATAGGGAACCCCAATTCTGTTGGTAGCTCAGGATTATAGACCAAACGAATAGATGCGAAAAATATATTTTGATACGTTGCTATTTTATTGAACTACTCACTCTCTATCTTTATCTCTATCTCTCTTTCTCTCACTTTGTCTGTGACATTAAACAACAAACGGGAATAATAATAATAATAATTATAATAATTATAATAATAATAATAATAATAATAATAATAGTTGATACGCGTATGAGAAAGAGTGCTGGGTTACCAAGGAACATTTTTGAAACGAGTACTGCCGTTCTTACATTTTCGTCTTAATTTAGATTATGTATATCCGTTCTATCATTGCAGTAGTACCTGAATCATTGAAACTGCCGATTCATGTTTTATATTCCTGATAATACACGGGTTGCAAGATGAGATATGTACGTTTTAATTTTATTAACAGTCTTAGACAATTTAATTGTTAAAGACACAAGCTTTTAAATACAAGATCATGTTCATTGTACGTTCTGTTTGTGACTTTACGAAATTTTGACCAAGTATTCCATGTACAAATCACATTTTGCAATCTAACAAATTCCGCGTATAATTTATTTAAATTTACTACGTATACATAACTACTTGTTTAATTGAAAATTTGACAAAACTCTCTGCTGAAGTTGTTATCATCTTGTATACTTGTAATCGTGTACATAGATCTGCTATACAACAGAGACATTTTACAGAAAGTGAGAAACCAATTTTTATACTCAGACGCTCGTGTTTTATCTTTTAAAGAATATTTTACATCTGATTAGCCAGATAAATGGACAATGCTTTTTCCAAGAACCAGCATTGTTTGTCATACATTCTAAACTAACGCGACGATTGTTTCACAAGAGCTAGGAAAGTTTCAGTGAGAAAGAAGGGAATAAAAGCGATATACATTTGTTAATTAATAATATAACTGTATAGAGATGGTCGGGAGCTAAATGTGATTCCGTATACACTACCATATGCTATTAAAGAAAGGAATAACAGCTCATGTATACGCATTATAGTTAAGGCTATCCACGTCTCAGTAGTGTAAAATGTAATCGAGAAATTTGGAACTAGCTCTATTTTAGAAACCACTGTCGACAATTTAAACGCGACATAAGGGAATACTTCACTGCCGTGAACCGTTCAAACGACTGTAATTGTAAAAACACTGCCACAGTTTTTTGCGATGAGATAATACAGTGACTTAAGCGTTCGTTCATTCCATTCTGTTCCAAAAATTGTTTGTTCTTAGCGAATTTGAAACTCGTGTACAAGGCAGATTTCGAAATAAACGAATTTTTTAAATAACTTTTACTGTATCATTTAATGTAGGATTACTGAATCTTTTATTCATTGTTTAATTACTAATTTTCTAGCCAGATGACGAGCTCAATGATTGCGTACCTGAAAATTTCTCCGATTCCCCACGTTGTAACAATTTCTGTTCACACATCGCTCTTATTTGACACGTTAATTTTGCAGGAACTACAGACATCGGGGAACTCACAGACGCCGAATTTCTTCACTCTCTTCTTCACGCACTTCCAACACTGTTCTTTAACACGACGCAAAGCTTGATGCTCTTTGCAAACCTCGCAAGGAATATTTTTCAACGCTTCGAGATTCTTTTTCCTGATCCGTTCTTCTTCCTCTAATAGATTCCTCGCCTGTTTCGGAGTTCTTTGTTTAACGAGGGTAAAAATTTGTTTAGTTAAGAGTTATTCAAATTGGCACTAACGACGAGTTTCTTATCCATTGCTATTGTAGATAACGCGATTAATTGACGGAGATCTTCCTTCCTATTCTCTGGAACGTTCCCGTGTACCCAACTCAACAGCTGATATGATATGAAGTGTATGGGATCTGACGGTCTGTATTTCAAAGTTCTGGCCATCGCCCAGGACAACGGTATCATGATATTTTGTCTGTAATTTGGTAAACCAATTTTTATTCTTCCAGCAAAATGTATTTTATTAGGATATTTATTTGCGACCTTAAATAATCGTTTCTTCGCGCATTTATTTCTTCATCTGTTTTCAGTTCCTCCAAAGCATGACATCGGCAAGAGTACCCATGGAGATCGTCTAATATACCAATAGAATCGATCGATGAATCGGTTTTCGAACTCGTTCTGCATACTGTTTTTAAAATATCTGCACCACAAATCGGCTCCAATATCGTCAAGCTGCACTCGCATATTATTTCCTACAAATTGCGATGGAAAATCCTGCAGTCGCAGCGGACGTTATACAGAAATCAAGTGGGGCAAAATGAATTTTATCCCACTGTAGGCAGAGTAATAAATGTACTTTGTCGAGACCTCCACTGTCGACAGCCTTTCGTCCATTTCATTCAGCCCGAGGTCTACCAGCATTTGTTCAGTCTCTTCATCGATACCATGCTGTTCCACCAATGCTATGACCTCTTCGTCTATCCCAATCAGCGTTAAAAATTCGATCACCTTAGTCGATGCAACGCTGATCTTGGTTTGCCAGTTGATGATCCCCGAGACGTCCACGCCGCTGAGCGTCAAGTGACGAATGATGTACGGACTTTGAAGAAAAACACCGTGAACAATTATGTTCCAACACTCGGATACATTGAGACCAACAGGCGTTAAATTTAGAATCAATTTCTCGCTAAATTTCTTGGACCACATCTCCTCGAATTCTAACGCGTACGGTTCGACGTTGAACTCCTTGTAACAGAGGATCTCGTCAGGGCTGAGGCTGATCAATCCCAGCTTCATTGCTTTTACGATACTTTGCAGAGACATGCCTGAAAATCAGTTCTCCTCTGATTCATTTCTCCTCGACATTCGCATTGTGGACAGACACACACCTTTGCTTCGTATTTCATTCAAGACTTCAACACTGTACAGTCCGCTGTAAACGGTGATCTTCAGTCTCGTTACGTTTACATGGCTGGGAATAGCCTGTTTATTCTGCACGCATTGTTTAATTCTATCTGTGAGTAACTGCAACAATCGTTCCTTGGTCCACGAACCGTAGACTTGTAGCCCTTTCTTAGTCAGAATAATTTCTAATTTCGTTTCGTGATACACTTCCTCGGACGACGAGGACGACGACGAAGAGCACGTTGAACACGTATCTGACGAAGGCCGTCTAAAAATTTACTCCAATTAGAATTGGAGAGGTAAGGAATATTTGATACGTATTACTTCTTTGGTTTCTTATCGGGTTTAGTGTAACATCGAGTATCTAATAAAAAGTGTGTCATTTCGCAATCGGGTTAAAAATAATTCAATTTTGTAGATTGACATTAGGACGGTTGTTCAAAATGAAATATTTTAACAGGCAACTGTTCTTAGAAATCCGCGACACGTTCTTTCGGCACAGTAAACGATTTAAATGCAGATGTCTAGTTTATTTACAAGTAGATACATCAAAATAATTGTATAAGACAACATCGTAACTTGCACAATTAAAATACAAGTGCCTAACAACAAAAGATTTTAAATAAATAAATTTACAAATAGGTCGTCATGTTTTTCACGTGATACACGCCACCTTGATTCATTGTGCAAACATAAAAATCAGCTGAATAATAATACACGATTTAAAGAAACAAACGTTCCGAAGTTAACAATATTCGCTTCCGTCAAACCAATGATTTTTATCGGTAATTTATTAATAGAAATTACCCACGTGTACGCATACTGTATTTACATGAATATAAACTTTCATATTACAAATATCTATAAAATTGAATCGTTTAACAAATCGATAAAAGCTAGAAGCAAACTCATTCGTGTGTATCTTCTCTCGACGTACACAGAGCTAATGTGATACGTAATTCACGTTTTATTAGAAACTCCTCGCACCAAGCGTTCACATTTCTTTTTGAGACCATAGCACAGTTCCTTTGAGAGTATCACCGATAAAGCTGTACGTTACAGGTGATTAGATGAAGCAGTAACAAGTCGAAGGCTGTTCGATGTTTTGTACGTCGAGCTCTCCGTGCAGCTGAATTGCATTCGCACCTCTTTGCCTAGGGAAGGTTACAGCGTTCATGATGGGGCCGAGGAGAGTGAATCTGTCCCAGAGGCCCGGCGTTTGTATTATCTGTAAAAAGTAATCAGTTACATATCGCAGAATCGAAAGTAATCGACAACATCATTCGCACCTTCTGTACAAGCTCTTCAAAGCAGCATTTGATCCCGTCCGCTGTTTTAGCACTGCTCTCGATGTACAAAGTCTGGTGCCTCCTGGCGAACTGTAGGCCTTCCTCCGTGCTCACTTCTCTGTTCGGTAAATCTATCTTGTTACCCACAACCATTTTAACTATATCACTTTTGTCACAGTACGTGTTCAGCTCGTTCAGCCAAGTTTCCAGCTTTATAAAAGTGAGTCTATCCGTGACATCGTAGACTAATATAGCACCCTGACCGTTTCTATAATAACTAGGTGTCAGAGTACGAAAACGTTCTTGGCCAGCAGTATCCTGTAACAATTTTTGTCACTCATTATTAATTTTAAAGTAAGGAAAATGAAGAGCACAATGACTAACCCAGATAGCTAGTTTCACTGTGTTCCCATCGATGGTGACCTTCTTCGTTCTGTAATCCATACCCACTGTGCTCTGCATATTTTCATGGAATTCATCTTCCGTAAATCGTAGAAGTATACTGGAAGAAGATAAATCGATATTACCATTCAAATCGGATCAGACGTTATACTTTCAGGTAGATATTGATAGAGCAAGTACCTCGACTTTCCAACACTCGATTCTCCTATCATTAATATCTTTAACGCCGTTAATACTTCGTCGTCCATTGTTACTGTTATATTATCACTAAATATTATTTATATATTTTCAATACTGTAAGCACATTAATAGACATAATCAGAATA